AAGAGCCGGGTAGCGGCGCGCGTGCTCCCGGGGCTAGAGATGGGGGAAGGGACGCGCCCCCTAGTCGAGAGGTTCTGTCTTCGGAACCGGCTGTGAAGTAAAGCAGCTCTGCAGATGTGCATTACGTGCTCAGTCTAAAAGGTTTTATTGCAAACTCTGTTTCAGGCTTACGCCAAATTTTCTGGCGCACCCTTGAAAGTCAGTGTCATAGATAACACCTGGAGAGGTTCAAGAGGTACAGTGTAAACTTTTAACACCCCTTCTACCTTCTTTAAGGGCCTCTCCCCCACCCCCCCTTAAAGCGCGGAAGCATACAGCCATGGAGTATCTTGGGATTTTAGTTTTTTTGTGTTTTTTTATTTTTATTTTTTTACCATGACCTTGGCTGTGTTTAGCTTATGATTTGATCATTCTGAATAATACTTCAAAGTGCAAGCCAAATCCGTGGAAATTATGAGAAATGAAAATGTTCTATCCAAGTGCTCTTTGTGAAATTGCAAAAAACGAAGATGAGCTTACTCATTCCCCCCTTCAAATGTGCAATTGGTATAGTGTTTAGAGTATTGGAATATCTTAAGAGGAGATCAAAATGTTTCCTTGTATGTAGACTGTTGTTTTGATTATAGGAGATGTACCAATTTTGACCACTGAAGACAAGATTGTTTCTCAACCAGCAAAAATACTGAACTTTTTAAGAAAACAGGTGGGTGGTTCTTTTTGAAGAAGTAGATTGTTGATCCCTGCATGTTGCTTTAAAAAACACACACAACACATCGTAAGGTTTGCAGATTTTTAAAAAATTCTTTTTTGCCAAGTTAGTAGACACCTGAGGATACCTGGAGTTTAATATAAAAAAACTTTCAAGTCATGAGTTATAATGTGATTTTGGAAGTTATAAAGTGAGGTATAGTCCACTTATATTTTTATGCACTTTGCTTAGATTTTATTGAAGTTTAGATATAAGCAGATTCAATTTAGCCATCTTTGCTATTACACTTATTGACATGATTGTCAATTTAGTTACATACTTGCTACACATTTTGTGCTAGGTATGACATCTGGAATCCCACCAACTAGCAACTATTTATTTTAGTTTTAAAAAAACACTTAACTGATAGTTGTAGTTAAATGTTTCATGCAATACTGTATTCAAGATATTTGAATATGTAAAGATTTTGATAATGTATTCAAAATGTATAAATATGTTAAGACATATAAATGCAAAAGTTACCACTGATTTTGCCAATACTTTAAATTTTTTCTAGTGATTTTTTTTTTTTTTAGAGGTGGAGGAGGGACGAGAGAGAAAGAGAAAGAAACAACAATGTGAGAGAGAAACTTTGATCGGCTGCCTTCCACATGCACCCCTATTAGGGATTGAACCTCTAACCTGGCAACCTGGGTATGTGCCCTGACTGGGAATTGAACTCGCCACTTTTTGGTATATGGGACAACTAGCCACACAAACCAGGGCCACTTTTTTTTTTCCTCTTAAAGAAATTTCGCAGCAACAAGATTTAGAATTTTTCTAAATTGGAAGTTTTTCTTTCTTTTTTCATTGGAGAAAAATGTAACCAGTTAGAACGTTATCCTTACTGTTAACAAAAATAATAATAGCTTCTTTTATTAAGTTTGTATGAAATTGGTCATTAATAATTACTGAAATAGTAGTAGTGAATAAAAAATCATAAGTTATTGACTTTACTGTGTGCATGATACTGTACATTTGCGTTAAACAGCATTTGTTACTAAATTTGTATTTCTTTTTCCCCCTTTTAATATCATGTTTGCCATTTTTGTGGAAGAATAAATAGGAATCCTAGTTTATTTAGCTTCACTATTTGGGGATGCTCTTGACTTCTGAGGTGTTTTGTTTATTTTATACGTTTTAATAGAAATATAATGCTGATTATGAACTCTCCGCAAGACAAGGGGCAGATACCCTGGCTTACATTGCTCTCCTTGAAGAGAAGCTTCTTCCTGCAGTGGTGAGCATTGGTGAATATTACAATATTTTAATGATCTACCAAAAATGCACTTAGTCTGTTTAGAAGAAAAATAATGAAAAGGGCTTAAGAGAGGAAATTTCACTTATATATTAATCTTGATTCTTTCATGTTCCTGTGAAACTGGATTCTGTTAGACATTCAACTAGTATGCAAAACAATAAAGTGAAAAATAATGTCATTTTGGAAATAAAAATTCTTTATGGGAGGTGGAGTTTATTGTTCCATATATAGAATTGGGTGAAATATATTCCATTCATTCAGCAAATAGTTATTGAGCACCTTCTATGTGATAGGCCTGGTTCTGGGTGCCTGGGATATAGTAACCAACAAAACTCACATTTAAAATCTTGTTTAATCCTTGAGTCTTTCTACCTGGAAAATTTGTATGAAGTCATTTTATACAAAGATGTTTATGAAAAATTTGCACATCAATAGAGTGACCTTTTCATTAAAGAACATCATTGTAGTATTTTTTCTCTTCTTTTGCAGCTTCACACATTCTGGGTTGAAAGTGACAATTACTTTACCGTGACAAAGCCATGGTTTGCTTCACGAATTCCCTTTCCCTTGAGTTTGATCCTTCCTGGAAGAATGTCTAAGGGAGCACTGACTAGGATTCTCCTGACCAGAGGAGAGCCTCCCCTCTACCACCTCCGAGAAGTGGAAGCACAGGTACGGTCGAGATTACTATCAGAGCAAGGGCCCTCCTGAGGAGGGACAAGAGAGATGCAGAGATGAGCTAATCCATAGATACCTACCTAAAAAGGAGTTCTGGAGTATCTGTCCTCCTCCTGAGATGTAATGTCATCCTTATTAGATATACAGAGATGCCAAGGAGTGCCTAAATCTTCTGTCAAACAGATTGGGAACATCTCAGTTTTTCTTTGGAGATACGTGAGTGCATTCCCTTAAAAATCATTCTGATGTTTTGTGTGCATATATTCAATGAGCAATTATTTAAAGCAAGTCCTCTTGTCTTCCCACTCCCCCAAAAGTGAGTTTTTCACTATAAAAACATTTAATGGATTTTTACTATGGGGAAACTTTCTGTTGGTGGTACTCTAACATTGACTTAATATACTGCATATGTGTATTGAAAACATCTAAGACTATTTCCACAAGTTACTATATAATACTTGTGAGTAAAAATGCATCTTAATTTGCAACTGATTTTCTTCTAAATAAAATAAATGGTTACAGTATTAAAAAACAACTGAGTAAAATTCTACTTGACTTTTAGAAGATAAGAGGAAGTTTACTTATCCATTATTATAAGTTATAATGGATAGTAAACTTTTTAAAACACTAAATTGTATACTTCAGAATTGATTAATATATTTGAGAAAAATTTTTTTTATAATCGCAAGTTAATATTTTCTTATGTGATTTTAAAAAATCCTGAATTTATTTTTAGGCCTTCTACCTTGGATGCCTATGTGTTTGGTTTTCTCGCACCTCTTTATAAAGTACGCTTCCCTAAAGTTCAGTTACAAGAACATTTGAAACAGCTCTCCAACCTGTGTCGCTTTTGTGATGACATCCTCAACACTTATTTTAGGCTTAGTCTTGGAGGTAAGGTGGCTCCTCTTCAGCTAATCTTTGTTTGTATAGAGGATTTGCAAATTTTCCTAAGGACACATAAGCAAGATTCATTACTTATTAAATAAGTTTGTGTATTGTCTTTAAAAGCTGGTTTATAGCACTTCAAAAAGTTGCATTTCTTCAACTTTATTTTTATTCTCATATGTTAGTTCTTATTTAAATAGAGGAATGAATTTTGCTTTTTTTTTCTATTCTTTTGGATTTTATACATTTCTTGCTTTTTGTTCTTCTTTAAATATTGCCCCTTTGAAGTGGGTCATTTTCTTCAAAAAGTTTAAACTATAGATATTTATTGAGGTGTTTCTAGATAGCATTTTTCCTAATGCAAATGGGCAATTACTTTAAATGTTGCTTCTAGCATTTTCCTGCATGAACAGAAATCAGTAGCAGATTGATTTTGGTGAGGTACACCCCTATAATTCTACTACTTGAAAACTGATTACATCAGACTGGAGGTACAGTAAACCGAGGGCACCTGTCATTTAGAAAATGATTTGTTAGGAGTATAAGGCCTTATGCTTAAGTGATTGGGATACCAAATTTGTATTGGAAGACTTGGCAGAAATTGTCCTTTTTAAAAAAATGTACTTTTTTTTTTATTGATTTCAGAGAGGAAGGGAGAGGGAGAGAGAGAAAGAGAAACATCAATGATGAGAGAATCATTGATCAGCTGCCTCTTGCACGCCCCACACTGGGGATCAAGCCTGCAATCCGGGCATATGTCCTGACTGGGAATGAAATCGTGACCTCCTGGTTCATAGGTCAACGCTCAACCACTGAGCCACAGCTGGCCAGGCAACTTTGTTACTTTGAAGCAGTGGTTGGCAGACCTGTCTACAGGACAAATACAAAAGCTTGGGTCCTCTACCAGATTTGCCAAATTAGAGTTTCTTAAGGATAAATCCCAGGAATCCGTATTCTTTTTTAAGTCCCTCCAAATACTTTGGATGTCAGGTGGATGGATACCTGTTTGGAGTCACTGCCTTAGAAAGCTATCCAAATAGTTGTAACTAAAGACATATTTGGAATGGTTGGGGAAAAGGCACTACTTAAATTTGAGAAGGAAATGAGGAGTGCTGTGCTTTTTTACTAATTACTTTGGCTAGCTGCAACCCACTTGGCCAACTTTGTTACTTTGTCTACTCTGTGGACAAATTTAGTCCTTTGTTTAGGGTTTGGTTTTGGAGTATTGCTTTCCCACTTAAGTTTGCTTTTGAATGCAGAATGGTTTTTCTCTTTGCCTTTTTTTGGAGGGTGGGCCACTTGGGAGGGTGGATAGACTAAAAATTCTTTTAATGTAAACAGCTTTAAAGGCTTTCAAATTTTCCTGTCTTTCTGATTTCTGTCCCTGGCTTCTTAGGCATCTCTCCTGCTGGACAAGAAACGGTAGATGCAAATCTGCAGAAACTCACACAGCTTGTAAATAAGGAATCCAACTTGATTGAAAAGGTCAAGTTTACTTCAATCATTTTTTAAAGTAGTAATTTAGTATTTCCCTTTCTGTAGTTAATATTGTAATTTAGGTTATGAATTAACTTTACCTTTTAAAAGAGCTAATTTTTTTCAGAAAGCTGTTTAAATATACATTTACTAAAGTTGTATAGTATAATATAGTATTTTGAAGTCAAAAGTGGCCTGATAACTTTGGGGAAAGATCTGATGATGGTTTTTGGTTTACTTTTACCACACAATAAGTATTTTTCAAATTAGGAGACCAAAAGCCTGGCTTAAAAAAAAAAAAGACAAAAATACTTCTTGCTTGCTTGTCTCTAAAAGTTAACATTTCTTGAGATTGGAAGCATCTGTGCTTATCCTTTCTTGTTAATTGTATTATGATGTCTTGTTCTTTCTTCCACATGGACTGCTTTATATTTTCTCCTTCCTGTCCTTCTCTGTTCTAAATGTGGTGCACAATTTTTTTTTATCAGTGTGGATATTTTGCCATTTTGGGGTATTCATTTGGTGAGAGAGATATTGAGGAACTGGGTAGGCAAGAGAGCCAACAATGAAAATTTCAAGGGTGATTTTAATTGGGAAATTACAAGAGAGTTATGCATTTCTCCTTCCCTCCCCCACAAGTGTCTGGTAAGCTAGCTTTTATCCTTAAACAATACTTAATTCTTTCAAAAACTAATGGGGCAGTGTACCCTAATAACACTGGCTAGCAGTAAGAGGCACTATATTGTATTAGCTTTATAAGAGTTATCTCATTTAATCTATGCGTACAAGTCCTCTATCATCCCCATTTTACAGATGAAGATACTAAAGCTTCAAGAGTAGCTTATGTGATCTGCCCAAGATCATTCAGGCGACAAGAGTTAGAGAGGTTTTTTGAACCCTAGAAATCGGAATCCAGCATGGGCTTTGCAGTTAGTCAGCCATCTAACTCATGGATGAGATTATGTATCCATTACTAGTACTACTAGGTTTATAAGTGCCACTCTCTGAAATGACAGTTCTGTTTCTTTTTATTGTATTTTATGTGTTGTTAGAACTTGAGAAGTGAGTAAAACAGCAGTAAAATTGTAGGAGTTCATTACTAAAGTTTGGGTAAGCTAAGTAAAAGCCTAGTTTGTTTTAATTATTTGTCCAAACCAGTAACTCTCATGAGAGGAAATATATTCTGTTAAGTATGGATAATGGAAAGATTTCTGAAACTATTATCTGCTAAGTGAAAGCTGTCCAGTATAGTTTCCATTTTCTATATGCGGCAAATTCATGTACACTTCATCTTGGGTCATCATCAATATATAGAAGTTTTTTGACCCTATTTCAGCACTGCCCCACCCCTTCATACCTGCTGTTCAGTTTGCCTCACTGTATGCTACAAGTCATTAGCAGTGGTTCTCAACCTTCCTAATGCCGAAACCCTTTAATACAGTTCCTCATGTTGTGGTGACCCTCAATTTCATTGTTACAAATTGAACATAATTAAAGCATAGTGATTAATCACAAAAACAGTATGTAATTATATATGTGTTTTCTGATGGTCTTAGGCGACCCCTGTGAAAGGGTCGTTCAACCCCCAGGTTGAGAACCGCTGCATTAGAGCAACAAATCCTAATGGCTACTATTGCTCACTGTTTGGACAGAAAATCTAGAGTGTTTTGTTTTTTTAAGAGTTATGTTTCAGGAACTTAGTTTTGGCAAGGAAAAGAAGACATCTTAACACAGTTGATTCAAAGAATTCACTGGAGATACTCTTTTCATTGGCAAATTAAAAGTTAATCTTTTATTCTCTTTCCTGTCCTCCAAGTCCTATGTACCTCTGCTGAAACATTTGCACTCTGCTTTATAAGAGCATCTTGAAAAGATAAGAGGAAGTTGTGTTCAAAACTCTAAAAAACATTCATATCAAGTGGGTAAAAAGATGCTATATTCTGTTGGCTTTGAATCTTTGATTGTAGCTGTCTTTTTGAAGTGAAACTGACAGTGAGCTCAGCACCAGCACTGGAGTCTTGAGCCCTGTTTGCAGGGTGCTCTGGTTAAAGGTAGTTTTCTAAGATCTGACTCAGTTCTAAATAACGCCTCTCCTAGTGTTTCCAGGGATGCTAATGTACTCCTAAGGGTAAGTGTGAAACCCTTGGACATGTTTTCAATGTGCTCCATATTAATTTGTTTCTCTAGAAGACTTACGTTCAAATGTCAGCTCTGATACTAGCTTTGCAACTGAATGCAAATTCCTTAACCATTCTGAGCTTTATTTTGCTAATCTGTAAAATAGGGAGTGATTGTATCTGTTTTTTCCTTCACAATGATGTTGGGAAAAACAAATGAGGTGTTGTATGTGTACAAACTGTGTAAACTGTGGAGCTTAATAACAGAAGTATTGCTTTTACTATTAGAAGACCTCTTAAACCAAGTCATGCTATGGTTGAGTTCAACAGAACATTCATTTTTTGGATTTACTATAATATTGTGAAGGCACCAAGGATGAGCTATATTGCTTTTTACATATACTGATTCAGCTGGTATTTGAGGTATGACATTTAGAATTCTTGAGAGATTATTTGCAAGAAAAAGGTTTCTGGCAGTTTTAGAGACATATGGTTCTGTACTCTTCTAGGCTATAGTTTGGATGGGGAGCCGCAGTCCACATAAGGGGTGCCACAGCCATTAGTCAGATGTACCTTTTGTGCTTTCCACAGATGGATGACAATCTTCGCCAAAGCCCTCAACTTCCTCCTCGGAAATTGCCAACACTTAAATTGACTCCAGCAGCAGAAGAAAGCGATTCCTTACAGCGGCTATCACCCTGACAGACAGCATGCTTTGTGTCAAAGTCATATGATCATTGCAGTAATCTCTTATACTAATTGTGTGAAAACAAAAAGAAAATGCTGCTAATAGGTATGAGGAAGACTCTAAAGCAAGAGAAACTTTCTGTGACATCTATTTTTTTAAATTAGGAAGCTTGTCTTTTAGCTGGCAATGCACTTTAAATACCACCAAAATAAATACTAAATGAACTTGGAGGGGGGGGAGGGGGGAAGAAAACATAATGTACTGTATATATTTAAAAAACAACAACCAGTCTTAATCTTGGCAGATGTTTGCCTTTTGCAAAGAAAAATTACTTATAAGAGAATCTTATTTTAGTGGCTGAGGTGCTTCTGTTGTGCTAAAACATGGTTCACATGTTGCTGACCAAAAGCTACAATTCTGTTCTGAATATGCACTCTTAATTTATTCAAGCTAATTTATTAATTTTAGTTTTCTTAAAGCAGTATAAATAACTAATATGTGGTCCTATGGCTGAGGCCTTTTACTTCTTTTTAGAAATTAGATGCCTAATTTTAGACGTTAGGAAAAATATATTATCCTAATATTCTATTTACTTCCATAGAAAAGCCTGTATTTAATTGTAAAAAGCAATGAGGAATGTGCTTTTTAATTATGCTCTCATAAGACTAATCGTTTGGGGGGTTAGTACCATATGTAAATATTAAAAGTGGTTATATAAATATAAACCTGACCATATGCACTTCAGTATTACATTAGTATTTGTTGACATGTTCAATCTAGGTTAGTAAGGGCTCTTTTAGTTTATTGGGTGAATGTGGCAACTTTAGACCTTTGTATTTTAGTATATCTTTAACTTTGGTCATCTCTTTCTGGAATTGATTTCAGGAGAACTGAATGTGTTGTTCATCGTTATTATGCCAGGCTGTAAAGTTTTATTGAAACTTGTCCCTTTCTTAGACACTACTGAAAAGGAACCCCACTAGAGTAATAGAAGTACCTACTGTGTGCCAGTCCAAGTTCATCATGCTTGGCTCACACCAGTGCTCTTTCATAATAAGCATATCATGTAATTAAAAGTTTCATGACAACTAATTATTTTTTATGTAGTTTAACTATAGTTAAAGGATCCAGTGGAATAATTGGGAATAGCAGTACATTTTTAAGCATATTTTCTATTTATTGGATGCTGAACTGTTAAAGGATTTGCTGTGCAAGTAATTTTACTTATAATAGAATCTTACTTTAGTGGCTGAGGTGCTTCTGTTGTCCTAAAACCACTTCTGGGATTTTTAAAATATAGGACCCTGTGTTTGATTAGTGTCTTAAAAGATTACTATGGTGCTCAGCAAACCTTATCACATCCTGCAGAAACCCACAGGCTAAGAAAACAGCTTTGCAGTCAAGACTTATCTCATGTGAGCTCATTTGTGTTTGACCTGCATCCTCTCAATTTGTTCTGTATTTCAGTAACTATTTATGTAGGAGTCTTTAAATATTTTTTTTTTATCAATATTTCTTTTTAAAAGTGAGAAACAAGGTGGTCTTCAATATCTTGTTCATCTGTTTGGATGCATTTAGGTAAAGTAACTAATGAATTTCATGTAAGTTTTGCAACAGGTGGGAGAGAGTGAATGTGCACACATTATGCATTAATCTTCTTTAGTTTCCAGCAATCCAAAATCCATATGAATATTTCTACATTAGAAATCATGACCAGAGGGCTTTGTGTTGTCTTCTAGGACTGATGTATGTTGGAGGAGGTTGGTTAGCACATTGACTAGACATCTGTTTATGCTTTAGTCAGGGTTCGTCATTTTCATTATGATTTGTATTAAAATTTCCAAAACGCATTTGAAGTGGCTTACAATTGTCAAACACATGTAAAACAGGCAATAAAAATAAAAATTTAAAAAAATAAAAAATTTGTGGGAGAAAGAGCTATCCCAACACTAACAGATTATAAAATTGAATGGTAAATTTAATTCCAAATTTCTCTATAGGCAAAGTAAAGAAATAATACTGGGCTATGTAAGTTTTTATGTCAATAAAACCACTAATGGCCATGAATAACAAAAATGTGTTTAAGTTTTTATAAGAATGTGGGAGCTCATGCTCTTACAACACAGACTTCAGCCGATAAGCATACTGTAAGATTTCATGTGTTGAAAGTTTAATCAAAAGACATCATCTATATATATAAAAGCCTAAGTGACCGTTGCAACCGGTCGACTGATCGCTATGACGCGCGCTCCCTCAGCCAACCTCCCGCGGGCCCTTCCCTGGCCGGCTGGCCGGCCAGCCCTGATCAGCCCCGAATGCCAGCCAGGCCGAGGGACCCCACCCGTGCACTAATTCGTGCCCTGGGCCTCTAGTTTTAGAATAACAAGTATTTGTCCTTTATTAGTAAAGATGACTAAATATGATTTATTTCCTTTTGGTCATTCCTGCTCTGAACTGCCTTTTAGCCGTACACTACATAGGCCATGATGCTTCCAGACTACTTCTAAGATGCAAAATGTAGTTTAGATAGGTGAAAATTTATATGTTGGTTTACTTAGTTGAGCTCTTTTGGTATAAGCCAGTGAGATATTAGGAAGCTATCAGTGAGCACAAACTACCGCAGAGATGCTGCATACCTAGAAACAGCTTTCCAGACTGGACAGAGAGCTTGTGATCAGCCTGTCAGGATATGCTTTGTATTAAGTTCGAGTTTGTTGAGCTAAATGGTCCACAGTCTTAAACAAAATGCTGTGACCTACTTCTTTTGGAGGTGATGGTGGAGGAGAATATAAAAGAGACTATTTTTGTGTTTATATTTGTGGTACAGTATTAGAAAATTGTCAGGCAATTCCCACCTGATAAAGATCCCACATCAACTGTCATTTATGATTTGTATTAAAAAGGCATAAAAAAGACAAATGTTTTCATCTTTTTCTTCCTTTGGTACCTAGGTTTACTCTTGAGGATAAAATATTTTGAAAATAGTTCTGTGTCTCCAGGTGGTAGTCCTTCGCTTTGCCTGTGTTACCTCTCTAACCACACAGAGTTGTTCACACTCTAATGAAGAAGGTGCAGCATGCCTGTGTGTTTTTTGTTTAGGCCAGTGGTCGGCAAACTGCAGCTCGCGAGCCACATGCGGCTCTTTGGCCCCTTGAGTGTGGCTCTTCCACAAAATACCAACTTCTGCGCATGGGCCACGAAGTTTCAATCGCACTGTACATGTGCGCCCGCACGTGGTATTTTGTGGAAGAGCCACACTCAAGGGGCCAAAGAGCCGCATGTGGCTCACGAGCCGCAGTTTGCCGACCACTGGTTTAGGCTCACAGGGATTTAGTAATTGACTTTGTCTTGGTTTTCTTATTTATTAATTGAAATCCTGAGCACAGCCACAGAGTATAATTTGGGTTGTGAGGATGGACTTTTGTATATGTTGTTGGTGTTAGGAATTATATCTTTTGCCTTTCTTCTTGTTCAGTTCTGTGGAATTTACATTTCAATGTTTTCATATTTTTATAAGGGTTTGCAAAATAATTTAGCCCAAACTCTTGTTGGGATGTAGTTGGGATGCAGATTACCTGCCCTAGACTTAAAACTATTGTGACTGAGGTGGAGAGGTAATCTCAGAATCAAAAATAGACAGCAGCTATTTGTTCCAGATGAAGGGGCCAATGATGAGAATTAACATTCTTGAACAATGATACAAGAAAGGGTAACTTTGACTTGGACATTTTTAAATAGAGAGGGGAATGGGTTTTTTTGTTTCGATAGAAAAGTATTCAGAGCAAAACAAAGTAGTTTCTTTATACAGGAAAATAAGTCGTTTTGTATCTTCATTATTGATTGGAAATTATACTGTAAGTTTTTTAAAGACATCTTTTAGTTTCTTGGAGAAGTAGTTCCTAAAGGTGTATTTTGGCAGCATATATCGTTATTATATGAATAAAGTCAAATAAATTTGGGAAGTGTCGGGTTAGACAAAGTTGAGTTACTGCAGGCCTTTCAGAACCTTTGGTAGGCTATTGTGTGGTTTCAGTCTCCAAGAAGTACCTGTATCTTATTTTTATGTGGATTTCTTTAAATAGGTGTTTTGTGAGATTTGTGTTCTGAGAAATACACTTATGGAAATGCTGCCCTAGAGTGTTTTGGGTGTTTGTGCTCACTGCGAAGGTTTCCCATTGGTGTCCCTCTAGTGAATGGTGGTACATGGGAAGAGACAGGTCAAGACCCCTTGGACCGTAAATTGAGAGATGGGTGGCTGCAGGTGTGCTGGTTGGTTAGGTAGGCACATGGTAGACCCATGGCCAGTCGAGCGCCCTTTCCCTAGAATCCCAGTTGGCCTGTGAACTGGTGGTTTCAGAAAACTAACCAGTTCATAGGCATCTAGGAGACAGAGGGAATCAACTTGGAATTCCAGAACAATCGTCCAAACCGTTTTTATAGCACTAAAGTCACATACAAGCTGGTTATTTTATATAAATATATATATAAATAATATGTACACACATAAGTATGTATACACATGCACATACTAGTATATAAGTATGTGTATACACACATGCGCACACACACACACACACAGACACACAGTGTCCTAGAAAGTTTAGTTGCTTTAAGAACAAAGCAAAGGAAGGTTAATGTTTTCAAGTTCTGATAGACATTCCTGAAGACATAGTCTAAACATGAATTGTATATTTTTTGTGTGAATTTTCTGGCATGAGGTTTTATAGTTCTTATTAAATTCTCAGCAGTTTCTCTATCCCCCACATTTTATTTTTTTTATTTTTATTTTTTTAAAATATATTTTATTGATTTTTTACAGAGAGGAAGGGAGAGAGATAGAGAGTTAGAAACATCGATGAGAGAGAACCATCGATCAGCTGCCTCCTGCACATCTCCTACGGGGGATGTGCCCGAAACCCAGGTACATGCCCCTGACCGGAATCGAACCTGGGACCTTTCAGTCCGCAGGCCGACGCTCTATCCACTGAGCCAAACCGGTTTCGGCCATCCCCCACATTTTAAACCTCACTAGCCTCCACATTGCAGAGGACTAAGTATGTTTAATTTAATTTCCAGTATAAAACCAGATTACTCATCAGGTACAAGGATGCTTTTGTCTGTCTTCCGTAGTGTGTACAGTTGCAGATTCGGAACACCTGCCATGCTTTGGAGTGCATTTGATGGAAAGCTTGCCTTTGAGTTTTGAGTTGTGTAATAGGGAACATCTAGCTACGTGAAAAGCAGTTGAACCTTTGTTCTGATTCTTCAGTTTTCCTCATGCAAAGTCGGAGAAATGCCTTTTAATCATTGAGTTTATATATCCCAGATCCTTGGAGATTAAGGAAAATGACGTGCCAGAATTTGCATCAGTCCTTAGCGAGTCCTGAACTACAGAGAAGGTAGTGCTGGCCTTTCATTCTTTGCACTGTTGGCTCCTTTTGCATTGCTGGCATCTTTATTTCTTGGCGAAGGAAAGGTGTACTCAAGCTTTTATGTTAATTGCATAAAGATGAGTTTTATTTCTCTTTTGACTTTATGTCTTATTTTGTAAAATTGGAAATAATGTCTTTCCATTTTTCTGTTTGTCTTGAAGTGGAAATTTGAGGTGTTTGGATGTAACTTTAGCTCTCTGGAAGAAGGACAGTAGAGAAGATGAGTAAGAAATATATGTGTGTACATAATTATTGGCTTTGATCCACCAAGCTTATCTTTGAATGGTAAACATTTTAAATATCAGTTCCAGTAGAAATACTATGGTTTTGTTATAAACAATCTTAAAATAAGCAATTTTGGTCATAATTTCAATATTCTAGCTTTGTCTCGTGTGAGTATATTTTACTCAGAGACTATATATAAATGCCCAGAAGTGGTGATGAAGATAATGTTGTAAAGAATTTATTCTGATAAATGAGAAACTGGATATAATGTCAAAATAGCTGTTTTCACAATAAAGTCTCAAATTGCCTGGATGTTTATTAAATCCTGACTTGATATTATTTATTCTTTGAGGTGAATTTTTGGGTGGTTGAAACAGTTAGTGTTGGGACTAAGCTAGGTAGGGGATTGTTCTTTTTAAAATGTTTATTCTTCTATGGTGCATTGAGATCACTTGTGCTCTTTCCACCCAGGCCAAGTGAAGTTAGAGGCCTGCTCCCTAGACCACTGGTACGTGCATGACCCCAGACAACTCACACAACTTCTCAGGGCTACAGTTATCTCATCCCTTGTTGGGGTCCAGCCCCAGCAGGTCCAGGGGTTCCCAAAGGTGTGGACGGAGTCGGCGAAGAAGGAATGACACGGAGACAGCATTCAGTTGATCAGCATAGCGAGGTTCTTTTTTTTTTTTT